TATATATATATATATATATTATTGTTTTCGAAATCCCTCAAATTTCAATAAAAATCTTTTAGCTATTTTTGGAAAGCGTAGTTATATTTATTTTTCAAATTTGGAGTGCTACATCCTTTATTTTTATGCATTCTTCAAACAAAAAATTTATAAATTTCTCTAATTATAGTATTTAATTTAATTAATTAATTAGTAATAGGGCAAGTTCTTATGAATTCAAGACTTAAACTTTTATTTATTTTATTAATTGTGATAATTGATATATTTATCAAAAGTTTAACATTAAACTTTGATTAAAATAAATTTTTGGTCCATTATTTTTTTTATATTTTAATTCGACTCTTTAAATTTAAAAGGTTTTCCTTTGATTCTTTAAAGTATTTCTATTGGACAAAATTGGTCCTTCCTTTAATTTATCTTGCTAATTTAGTTAATTTAGTAACATATAATGAGTTATGGATATGTCACGTAAATAAAATTGATATCATTAGTATAAACATTTGACGAAATGACTAATTTAAATAATAAAAATGCTTTAAAATTTATTTATTTTTATCTATAAAAATTAGAAAAATAAAAATAGAGTTCAATCTTAAAATATATACATATCATTCCCATTTTCATCATTAAGCAGAACCCAAATCTTATTTTAACTTTAAATCTTTCATATTGTATAAAAAAAAAATCAGATTCAGTGAGTCATTATAAGTGGCGTTCTGATCCAAATTATTGTTTATCTTTTTATTATTTAATATTTTCTCAAATGTCTCATTCATGGCGATGGCTTGTTTATTTTTATTTTTTTAATATTAGATGTAGTATATGATTTGAATGAGAGGGGTCTTGATTAATTGCACTGGTTGCTGTTGAAGCCACTGTCGGTGTCAGTCTGCAAGTCGTCATAATTGAATAATAAAAAAATAAATATTATATGTTGCTGTTACTGTTCATTCTTGCAGGCAAGAGAAGTCATAGTTTTTAATACACCTTTTTTGAACATACTTATTTATTGACTAAATTTATTATATATATATATATATATATATTTTTTTTTTTTTTTTATTATTTTACTTCTTAGTTATACACAATAGATAGTTGGTTCAAATACAATTAATAAACTCGATTTGTTTTAAAGTAAGATCTCGATTTTCAATAATATTACAAAATGTAATTAAAAAATAAATATTATTATAATAAACAGTTATATACTCTCTAATAAAAATTAGCTATTAATAATTATTTCTTACTAAAACATCATTATACGAAAAATAATAATTATGTTGTTATGTTTAATAAATTTTAATTAATATATTTAAAATTATAAATTATTAAAAAAATGTTACATATATAATGAGTGATATACAATAAAAAAATAAGTATCACTATAAATATAATATATTTAGATACAAAATTATTTGACACATAATTATATTTAATTTTAGTATTGATTTGAATGTATTTACATTTTTCTTAATAATATAGAAGCATATATTGTGTTTATATATATAATATAAATAAAAGTAATTTTAATTAAAAATATAAAATATCATATCATTATAACATGTGTCTTTTTATAATAATTTATTTTTATTTTTGTAATGAATATATATTACTAAACAATAATTGGTTGGGTAGGGTCCAGCTGCCACTACATATTATTGTTTTACTTCATTTAAAGAAAATCAAGATCATGGTAACACGAGTTGAGGAGAGGATTTTGCTTAAAATGAATAACACGAATATGTTTCCATGAAGGTCATTGATGTCTATATATATCATTGGCCACTTATCATAAACCTTATCCTCTCTTGCACTCAATAGGCTTCTACAATCTTCAATACAAAGCATAAACTAATGGGGTTTGAACATCTTATCGTTTTAGCTCTATTATGTGTAAGCTATTATATATCATCTTTCTTAATTTGCTTGATTTAACTTCCACCATTGTTTTCTATTGCCTTTATTTACCCACATATATGCTTTCAATATGTCTCATTTTCATCACTATAAATCAAATCATCTTAAAAGTCTTCCAAGATTATTAGCATGCATGCAGCAAGATTCAAATCTAAACATCGTATAAACTTAATCAACTTTTTTATTATTACTATTATTAGGCCGACCTTAATAGTTAGTGTGTATAATAGGAGAAATTTTTGGTACAAGAGATAAGATGTTACAACATTTTTCATGGAATCCAAAATAAGTAAAACTGTTTTTAATTTATACAAACTAAACTTAATAACAATATGTTTGACAAAACTTATGTATAACACTAGGTATATGGATAGTGTTTTCACTCGGGAGTGGCATTTTAATTTGATAATAGGTGTTCATGTATATTACCCATGTCTTCATAAAATATAAATTTATATTATTAAGGTGAAACTTTAGTAAACCAAAGAAAATTTTGATATGCGTGATCTATAGCTTCAACATTTTTTTTTTCAGCTTTTTATTTATTTATTTATTTTTATTATTCATATTTATTTATTTTTCAGCTAAGTTTAGGGGTAACCGATGCGTCGGAATCAGCCATAGATTATTGGCATTCTGTTTGCCCAAACACTCCGGTGCCGGAGCCTCTGAGGGATCTAGTGCTGCCTTGTAAGTTACATGAATTATTTATGCTTCGTTTATATACTTAACATATATTTTAGTAGATTAAAATTAGGTACTTACTACAGGAGCCTTATAAATTGGAATATTTTGGTACGGTCAATTTTTAAAAATAATAAAAATGACATGAAATGTGATTTTTTTATTTTTTTTTATTTTTTTCTTCTATAGTGATGTATTCTTAACAAATAAATAATTTAAATAATTAATTTATTATTTATTTTCATTAAATATTGGTCTAAGTGTTTCTAATCATTTTGTAAAAATTAAAATAATTTTGAAAAGAACACAATATAAGATTTTATATGTTGAAGTTGAGGAAGGTTTTGTAAATCTTTTTATTCAATTTATCTCTTATAATTTGTACAAAAGTGTAAAAAATTTCAATTTATTATAATTCATAATATATAAAAAATATTCTGTGTAAAACCAAATATTTCACTTATATATATATTAAGAATCTAAAAACATATATATTGAAATAAAAAATATAAACATGTTAAAAATCAAACAATTGTAACTCAAATGTTTAAATATTTAAAAAAACCAAAAAGGAGATTTAAATCTATTTGACATATAATTATATATAATTTTAGTGTTGATTTTGAATGAGATTTAACAATATATATTGTATCACTATATAACTTATACACAAATTTTTAACAATATATCAATATATATTGTATTTATAGTGTATGTAAAAATATTTTTTAATGATAATTATTATGTCATTATAAGGTGTATGTTTCCACTGAAGCATAAAATAAGAGTATAATAGATTTTCTAAAAGTGGACATAAAAAAAAATGTATCCCTTATATATTATATAATAAAATTAAATATATATTTTTTTTTATAAAAATAATTATTAAAGTAAATATAATATCAAATAAAATAGATAAAATATGATAAAAAAATAAACTCGATATAGTTTATTAAATTAGTATACTAAACAACATTAAATATATCTATATTTAATAATTATAAACATGATAAATGTAAATAATTCAAATTTATTAATACTTTTACTGAATACTTTCATTTCTTGCTAGTCGAGTTAATAAGTTAGTGCGAAAATTTTAATGGGACCAATAATAGTTTCTTATCCTCGTGATACGAGTAATTATAATAATAATTAAATTATTATCCGCAAAAACGTTTGAGACAAGTTATATCATGAAATTAAAAATAAAAGGGACATTAAATCAAATAAGAAATAAATAAATTTACATCAGAATGCAAGTTAAAAGAGATAAGTATAATTTATCCTAAGAGATCATAAAAAATTCCGCTAAATTGAATATAAGATAGACTAATCAAGAAAGAGTTGAATGAATTAGGAAATAAATGAGAGAATCGTCAAAGAGATGAAGGAATTTAAATAACAAGATAAGGAAAGAAGAAGTGAAATCTTATGAGTGAGTATTTAAAATAAACAATATTTTCACAAACAGTGATGCTCGCAAAGTTAGACGTATAATTTTTCTAATCGGTTGGAAGAGAAAAAAATGAGATAGTTATGTGAACTTAAATTTGATTCTCATTGTGATTATTTTTTCTTTTTTAAGTTTTACAAAAAAAAAATAGTTGCGATTATTTTTATAATTTTTTTCTTCTAATTTTACTAAAAAAGCTAATTAATTATTATAATCAATAGAGATATAAAAGATAGATAATAAAAATCATTTAATATTGATATTCAATTTTAAAATATTTAATATAAAATGATTCAAATGATCTATAATCATCCCTAGAATAAAAAACAGATAACATATAGTTACAATTTAACATTCTATTCTTGAATGTGTAAGAATAATGTGTAAGTGTGGTTCTAATGGTGCAGACAAGAAAACTAGCATGCCTATTAAAGTGGAAGAAGAGAAACAATATTGGACTCTATTTTTCGAACATGACCTTCACCCTCTCAAGATAATGCACTTGGGTCTCCACAAGCATTCTAACACTCAACCATCCAAAATAACGTCAAGAACAACAAGTCAACCTTTTGGAGCATGGTTACGGGCAAAGGTAACAGAGAGATATAATCTTGATGAAGTTTGTGGGAGACCAGCTGCTAAAGGAGAAGACAAGTTTTGTGCAACATCCTTGAAATCAATGATGGGTTTCGCCATTTCGAAGCTTGGGAACAATGTTAAGGTGGTTTCAAGTTCCTTTGCCCCAAATGAAGACCAATATACAGTTGAGGAAGTGAACAAAATTGGAGACAAAGCAGTTATGTGTCATAGACTAAATTTTGAAGATGTTGTGTTTTATTGCCACCAAATCAATGCAACAACAACTTATATGGTTCCACTGGTTGCCTCTGATGGAACTAAAGCTAGGGCACTAACTATTTGCCACCATGATACAAGAGGCATGGATCCTACTGTTCTGTATGAAGTTCTTAAAGTCAAGCCTGGAACTGTACCTGTTTGCCATTTTGTTGGCAATAAGGCTATTGCATGGGTACCCAATCTAGTCACTAGTGAATCTTGTGTTGTCTAGATGATATATATTTGGTTGTCTACATTATTTTGCATTTATGTTAGACTTTTGTGTTAGAATTATAGATAATAGTCATTGAATTGTGTGTTGGTGTTCATGTTGGAACTTGGCTTATGTTGAAGTGATGTCTATGTATGAAGTGTCTTTCATGTATTTCAAATAAATTAGTAGTTTTAAGCTAGTAGTTTTAAGCAAGATAGAACTAAGTTGTATCTAAGGTAAAATCTTCTTGGTATATGACTTCAAAGATGATGGAATTTGCTAGGAAATTACCATCCTTATCAAGATAAATTAATAAATAATGTATAGCCAACATGCTTTGTTTTTAAAAGTAATCAAAAAAGATAACTAACTAATGGAGAATAGATAAACAAAATAATGATAACAACTCAATAATTGAGTAATAAGGAAAGAAAATAAATTCTGCCAACTTTACTAGAATTGAAGAGGAGCAAAACAAAAGTAGAACAAAAAATGAGGTAACTGAAATGCATAACAGACACAAAGATTTAACATATAAAATCACTCAATGCAAAGATAAAAATCAAAGGTCATCTAGATCAAAGAAATAGCTCGACTGATGAACATGGTAAAGAGAGTCTCCAATTAATACAGTAAAATATTACTTACAATTAAAAAAATCAAACCAAGCAATAATGATCAGTTGGGAAAAAAAAGATGAAAAATCTCCCAAAACAAAGTTGTTATTGCAAAACACTTTTCTACACTCCAAACTTTCTTTTGATGATTTAACCATTGAAAACAACAAATCACATCCTATATAGACCTTCTATCCAAACCTTAGCCAAATCCAATGGTGAACATATCTTTAGTAATAGTTTGAAAACTATTGCTTGGTGGGAATGCAAAAATGCACAATGACTTTTTCTCTTCTCTTGTCTCACTTTGTTTGATGTTGTTATCTCTCAATAGTGAGACTATTTCTTAATCCTAATTTAACCCTTCTTCACTTGTTTTCGTGATATACAATGAGCTTACACATATGGGCCTATTCTTCATATAGGGTTTAGAGTTTAGTGGTTTGAAAACTGTTGCTTGGTGGGAATGCAAAAATGCAAAATGACTTTTCATCTTCTCTTGTCTCACTTTGTTTGATGTTGTTATCTCTTAACCCTAATTTGACCCTTCTTCACTTATTTTAGTGATACACAATGAGTTTACTTGGGCCAATTCTCCACATAGGAAGGGATCCCAAAACTTAATGAATCTCTTTCTCACAACTATGTGGAGATAATTGCGTAATTGGTGATCTCACAATAGACTTCAAACTTCTCTCCCTACAATGATTAAGTCATCATATCAACACCATTATCGTTGGTTTGAATTTTGGCCATCTCCAACATCTTGGCATCTAAAATGTTCCACATCCAATGATATATCCCATCAATATGCTTAGACCTTAAATGGAAAGTTGAATTCTTACCTATATGAATAACATTATGACTATCCAAAAATTGATGTGAAACCGTGCACAAACTTAACACTATCGTTTGGTTCAATTGTATCTCACGTTGCAAATTCTAGAATTGCACGATTCCATGATGAGATGAAATATGACATTCTAAAATGAAATTTAGACATATAAATCACTGAAAAAGGATTAGTAAAATTAGAGATATGAAAATAAGAAAGTTTGGACAGATTCTAGAAATTAGCAATGCAAAAAAATAACAAGGAAACAAAAAATGAGTGAGGAAAAAATGATAGACACCACAAACAATTGATATTTAATAAGCCTTTAGGATTGCCACAATAATTTTAGTGAATTCTTGATAAGATCAAATGGTTCAAGAAAAAACCCCAACAGAGACAATTCTCACGCTTAAGAAAAATAAACATCCAAATCTATTTTTTCATTCATACTCAATTGACTTATACAAAATAGTTTCACGTACTAAAAATAAAATAAAAGATAAATAAATTATCAACATTACAAGCTAAATAAAATTCCTTTGCGATTAATTGAGACCTAAAAAAGCTTGAGGTCTTGGTCTCAAAATTAGCCATAAGCACTTTATCATAACTATTATAATTTTATTTTATTTTTTAAATGTCTAAGTCACTATTGACCTTCAATGATTAGTACATTTTGAATTATTTTGGCCTCTAAGTCCTTTTCCTTAGGTGTAGCTTCAAAGATTATTGCCACCATTTGTTGTAGGGACTCCTCTACCTTCTTAGTCTTAGCTCTAGTCATAGGCCCCCCAAGTAATTATTTTGACTCTTGATCAACTTTAATGTCCCCATCATTCCCTCTTTCTTGGGCAACATTTGTCCTCAAATTTGTGAATTCATCTCCTACATCAAAAAAAGTTAAGTCTGCAACATTAAAAGAAGAACTTACACCATACTCACTTGGTAGATCAATCTTGTAAGCATTATCATTTATCATTTCTAGGACTTGGTGATGGAGAACCGTCCTTGAAGCATCATATAGAGCCTATCACAAGGTCCATGGCTAGGAGGGTAGAGCAAGACGAAGAACACACCACACCAAAGGCCATGATCATCATGTGTGTGGAATTTGAACCATTTCCTTAGTTTGTTGTTTTCTTTTCCTATTTTGCCCTTGTATTTTGGGGTACATTAGATATGAGGATTTTATTTTGTATTTCTATTTAACCTTTTTATTATGGGGCAAAATTAGTCTTAGGATTTAGTTTAGGACTTAAACCTTATTTTATAAGGTCAAAGTCCATTTCTTTCTTTTTCTAGACCTAAGGGTACTTTAGTCTGTTAGAGAGATGGAAGCCAATTCATTTGGGTTGCATTTAGGGTTCATCTAAGGTGCATTTGCACTTAAAATTTTCGGCCAAATGCCCCAAGGAACCCTAGATTCCACTCTCTGATGGAGGACCATCCTTGAAGCATCATATAGGGCCTATCACAAGGTCCATGGCTAGGAGAGTAGAGGAAGATGAAGAACACACCACACCAAAGGCCATGATCATCATGTGTGTGGAATTTGAGCCCTCTCCTTAATTTGTTGCTTTCTTTTCCCATTTTTCCCTTGTATTTTGGGGCAAATTAGATATTAGGATTTTATTTTGTATTTTTATTTAGCCTTTGTATTATGGGGCAAAATTAGTCTTAGGATTTATTTTAGGACTTAAGCCTTATTTTTAAGGTTAAAAGTCCATTTCTTTCTTTTTTTAAACTTAAAGGTGCTTTAGTCTTTTAGGAGGGATGAGAGCCATTTCATTTGAGATGCATTTAGGGTGCATGTGGACTCCAAAATTTCGGCCAAATGCTCCCAAGAACCCCTAGATGCCTTCCTCTCCTTATAAGTCCTCTAGGTACCCCCCCTTGTAGCCACTTTGGAAATTAATGTTATTGAGTGAGCCTAGTGCCTCTTCATTCTTCCTTGAGTGAGCTTGGGTCTTCCTTGGCTGACCTTCATCATCCTAAGTGAAGTGAGCTAGCCTAAATGAGCTACACCACCAAACACCATCCATTTCTCTCCTTCATTTTGTGCGTCACCCTTCACCTTCCCACACACTAAATCCTCCATTTCCATACCCTTGAAGAGATCATCCTTCACATCATATCAACCTTGGAGAAGAGAAGGAATCAACCACTAGCTCTCATGGAGAAGTTGGTTACATCACTCTCCCTCCTTATAAGTACCCTAGGTTATCACCTTGTAGCCACTTTGGAAATTAATGAACTTGAGTGAGCCTTTGTTCCCCTTCATTCCCTCCTTAGTCCCCTAGGAACTCCATGACCCCCTATCCTCTCCTCTCTCCCTTGAGTGTGAAGTTACACATGAAAAACACATAGAAGGGGGTGGGTTGAATATGTGTGTGTGAACAAAGGTATTTTTATAAACTTTTTCGCAAGAGTAATGTTCTTCGTCCAATGTACTTTTAGATGTCAGACAGTTATGCAGAATTTGCTTAACACAAGGTCATTGCGTCTGAAAGATTTTATCGTCTACTGGGAAAATGGTTTATAATAATAATTAAAGTTCTTGCATTTTCCTTTTCAAGATAGTTTCATTTAAGGATAAGCAGTAGATAAAACTTTTCAGTATAATATGTTTTTAAACAAAATTTGCATCTTTGTCTGAAAAGAAAAATGGTTTAATGAGGAATAGACAGTAGATGAAGATTTTAATATGATTTATCAATTAAAAAGAGTTTGTGTCTGAAATATAAATAAAATAGGGCACTAATTTTTATATTGGTTCGCTCAACTAAGCTACATCTAGTCTCTTTCAACTGAAGGGTTCCACTAGGTAAGCATTTCAATACACAAGTATTGTCAACCACTTCTAGCCCGTTGACTTCAGTCATCAACACTAGTATTTTGTTTTCAGCCTCTTCAGGCTAGCATTGAATATTATCGTCCACTGCTGGACCTAAGTATTCTCGACCACTCCTGACCTGTTGGCTTCACTTACCAATGCTAGTATTCTTAAACCACTTCTGGTTCTCCAAGTATTCTCGACCACTCCTGGCCCGCCAGCTTCACTCACCAACGCTAGTATTATTTGTTTAGCCACTTTTGGCTCTCAGTGAGTATTCTTTGACAAGCCCCTCCGGGCTTTAAAAGTATTTTTCCCCTAGCCTCTTCAGGCTTTACGATGTTGCTAGACATGTTTGGGTTGAGTGTATGGTTTACTCTCATAGAGAGGATACATAGATTTGTACACTCTCTAAGGTTTGCTACCTTAGTCTTACAGAGACTTGTGTTTGAGTGTTTGGGTTACTCTTATGGAGAGGATACACAGGTTTACAACACTCATTAAGGTTTTGTTCATAAGTGACATTTTGAACACCTTAGTTTGCAAAGATAATCATACAATGTTACATTGTACGTATGACTATGAATGCTCATCTCTAGTCTCTCTATCTTGTGGGCTTGATATCATTTTTTTTCCGAAAATTCTCTCTCTCCAAGGTTTGAGGCAATGATATATATAGTCTTGTAGAATCTTCCTGTTGCTTGATTTTGAATATATCCGTTGAGGCGGAGCTTCTTGTTGCAAGTGTCCGTTGAAGCAGATATAGTTGTTCAGGACTAGTTCGATCTACTCATTTAATGCTTGAGTTCTTGCATTAAATGTTGCTTCTTGTGATAGACCTTGCGTAAAGTCTTCTTTGTCTTATTAGCAGCTGTGTCTGACTTTAGCAAAGATCTAGGGACCTTTTTGTCCTTTTCTG